ACACACACACACACACACTCTCTCACTTACACACACTCACTCACCCACACACACACACGCTCGACTCCTCCTCCTCTCCTGCCTCTGCTCTTCCTCTCTGTGTCCGTCTCATCTCGCTGCTGTTTCTGTCTCAGGATGAGGATGAGGAGCGTGTCTCTGTAGATGTGGCGCGGGAGCTGCAGGCCGGCCGGAAAGCCTCGTACGAGAGGTCGTGTGAGGAGCTGGAGACACTGAGAGACGTGGTGGAGCGACGGGGCGCCTCTCCTCCGGAGGAAACCGATCTCAGGCGCTTGGAGGAGGAGATCGCCAAGGTGCTTTACAAGACTTCAACACTGTCTGATGCATTTATATTGCACGTTTGCTTCATTTTAGTAGGAAAAGCTGTGTGATGTTTTGCATCACCAGCTGAGAATAAGCAACAACTAGTGATGCAACAAAATAAATTTTTTACAGAAACACCAAAACCAAAATTAAAGTTATTTAGCCCAAAAAAATTTTTTTATATTAAAAATATATATATATTTCTTTCTTTTATTTTTTTTAGAGAACCTGCATGAAGTTTCTATGGTAGTTTTATGAAAAATTTTGTTTCTTATTCTCAGCTGGTGATGCACTGAAAAAATTTTTTAATCATATTTAGCCAAAAACTGAAACCAAAACCAAAAGTAAGTTTTTATATATATATAATTTTTTATTTATTTTTTATATAGTGAGAAAACTTGTGTGACGTTTGCACGGTAGTTTAATGAGGAATGTTGTTGAAAATTTAGCTTATTTTCAGCTAGTGATGCACCTTTAAATTAATTTTTTAGATTTTTTTTTTTTACCAAAACACCAAAACCAAAATGAAAAAATTTCATTTTAAAATTACAATTGTTTATTTATTTATGTATTTTTTAATTTTAGTGAGAAAACCTGTGTTTTTTTTAATGGTCGTTTTATGAGGAATTGCTTATTCTTGGCTGGTGATGCACTAAAATTATTATTACTTTTATATTATTTTATATTTAGCTGGAAACTGAAACCAAAATCGTAATAAATTGCGCATAAATCAGTCTCTATATCAACTATTTGATTATATAATTATGTTTATACTCCAATTTGTTGTTGAAATATAAACATTTGTGGTGGCTGTAATAAAAATATATATATATATATATTTTTATTATTATTTATAAGACATCACTAAAAGATTAAGTCTTTTGTGTCAATTAAAGCAGTGCATTAATATAGAACGGTGATTAAACTGACTTGGAACTTACCTGTGCATTAAATGGTTTTAATGCATACCCGCCAGCCAATCAGAATCCAGTATTCAGACAGACCATGGAATAAAGTGCATATATTTATCAAAATGGTCCTCTCTAGAGATATTTTTTCAAGCTGACTATCGACTGAATGTATTTCCTGAGTGACATTATTGATCACAATCTGTGTTTATTGACATCTTTCCTCTGATTGATCGATTACATGATTCATGATTGATTTGAGTAAGTTGTTCTGTTTCTTTCAACACATTCTGATGTTCATTCATGTTTATTTGGTGCTGTAACTAATAGTAAAGAGGGAAGCGATGAGATTAATAGCTTCAACATTTTAAACTGTGTTTTGAATCAGTGGCTTCATGAATTTGACGTTTTGAATCTATCTGCCTTTATGAATCTGAAATGGTGTATGTTTGTCTTAAGTCGATGTTTTTTCGGTGTTGGCTGTGTCAGGTGATCGTGCAGATGTCGGTTGAGTTCGCCCAGCAGACCGAAGAGGCCCGGATCAGAAAACAGACGCGAGAGACGAGCATCGGCACGCAGACAGACAACAGCGAGGATGAGGAGGACCGACTGAACTCTGAGAGCGTGATGAAGGTGAGATCATGTGTGTCACACTAACACCAGTTCAGATTCCTCAACGCTGTGCTTCACAAGTTCGGCTTTTATTATGGATTTTGTTCATTTTAATCCTTTATAGGGTTTAGAATTTGGTCATCAGTGAAATTTCACTTTCTTTTATGAATATATGAGCTCACATGAGTCTTAGATTCATTCTGCAGCTCGACCTAGAAGACGAACCGTGTGTGTGTGTGTGTGTGTGTGTGTGTGTGTGTGTGGATGATCTATAGGACGAGTGTCATTTTGTAGCCCTTCAGCTCACATTTACCACACACACACTCACTCACACACACACACACTCACTCACACACACACACGCTCACACACACAC